TTTTACTGAATAATGCTACTTTATATGAGCTCCTAATTGATTTGATTCTACATTATAAAAGAGGTCAATAGAACAAATAATTAGTTTACTGGCTCTCTTTCATCTAGAATTATAGTGCAGAGTATTTGATGTTAATGTGGTCCAGTGCTGAAGTACAGTGGTGATCTTTTAAATATCTCATTTGATATTTTTCATATGACAGGTGTTCAGGAGAAACAATCCGTCAAGGCAGTTAGTTATGACCATGATATGACTAAATTGAGCTGTTCACCAAGTATTCTGTCTCAGATGCAGTGTGAGGGGCCAACCTTTAATTTAGAGAACTTTGAGCTCTCATCTATTGCTAATTTGAGCTCTTCAATCGGTGAATTGTTAAGATCTGATGATACAAATTCTTTGGATACTGGTTTTGTGCAAACCACTGCGATGAACAAGTTGTTGTCATGGAAGGTTGACGTATTAAAAGCACTTGAGAAGACTGAATCTGAGATAGAGTCACTTGAAACTGAATTCAGATCATCAATATCTGAAGCTGGAAGTAGCTTTCCTCATCCATCTGCATCATGTATGCTGCCAGGTGACAAAATTTTGGAGAATAGACCTGAGGCATTAGATGATGAGAACTCTGGGATGAAAGATGAGGATATTGGTAATCCAGAGAGTGCAATATCCAAATTTGTCAAGATGCCTTCTGTGAAGGACTTTTGCTTGTCCGACACAGCCAATCAGATTGAATGCTTCCTGAATTCAGATGTGACTAATTCTGAAAACCTGGAAGTGAAATGTTTAGAAAATGGTCTCAATGATGAGGAAACTAAAGGCCATGTGGATGATTCTGAACCGATCTTGAGTAGTAATTATCCAACTGTAGCTAGTTGTAGCAATTCATGCCGTGATAGAGAGGATATTTATAATTTAATACTGGCAACCAACAAAGATTCTGCAGATAGAGCTTCAGAAGTGTTAAATAAGTTAATGCCTGCCAACCAGTGTCATTCTGATATTTCAACTGCGACCAGTGTCTCATATTTGCCAAATGATTGCATGTTAATGAAGAAGAAATTTCTGACAAGGAAGCAATTCATACGGTTTAATGAGAAAGTTACCACCCTCAAGTTTAAGGTTTTTCATCACTTCTGGAAGGAAAATCAGCTTCTTTCTGTAAGGAGAGTTCCTATGAAATCTCACAAGAAGTTAGATCTAAGTCGGACCGAGTATTTCGGCTATCCAAAGCATCACTCCTCCTGTCGCTCTAGATTTTCTTCTCCCGGTAAGAAATTTTTGGCTTCAAATGTGTCTTTGATTTTAATGGGCATACTGTGACTTGGTAGAATTATGATTGGCATTGGATTTTCATGCAACTGCTACTATGAATTGACGCTAATATATTACACTTATGGTTGAAAAAAGAGCTTTTGAGTTGTTAGTACCATGGTTTCTGTCTAGTTCACAACTGATTCTTGGATGAGACTTGTCAAAAATGCTGAAGTATGGGATAGTTGATCCGAAGCTTTGTTTTCTCAACTGTAGATTTGTCTTCTTTCACTGAAAAAGTAAAATGAGAGCTGGTATTTATTTTGGAGTTGTTTATTTCTGTATTATTATTACACTATTGCTTGTTGAAATCCATTTATATTTTTCTACAAATTTTGCGCTTGAGTTCCTTTCTATACGCTTACCTTTAAATTTAAGTATTCAACGGTTTAGAGAACTGATTATGTGCTGGTAAATCTATACTGACATTATGCATTCACACTCTCAGTCTATGCGGATGGAAATCTTAGTATGGTGCCAACAGAAGAAGTAATTGATTATGTGAGTAGGTTGCTTTCAAATTCCGAGGTCAAGCCCTACAGGAATGCATTGAAGATGCCTGTTTTAATTTTGGACAACAAGGAGAAGTTTATGTCAAGGTTTATCTCGAGTAATGGTTTGGTGGAAGATCCTTGTGCTGTTGAAAAGGAGAGGTCTATGATCAACATCTGGACATCTGAAGAGAGGGAAATTTTCGTTGATAAACTTGCTACCTTTGGGAAAGACTTCAGTAAGATTGCGTCTTTTCTTGATTACAAGTCAACAGCAGATTGCATTGAGTTCTACTACAAGAATCGCAAGTCGGAATACTTTGAGAAGGCAAAAAAGAAGACAGGCTTTCCAAAGCAAAGGCCGGCCCGATCTAGTAGTACATACATGGTTGCATCGGTGAAAAGATGGAATCGTGAGGCTAATGCAGCATCCCTTGATATACTGAGTGCAGCATCAGCGGTCGCTGCTTCTGCTGATGATGGTATAGAGATTCAGCAGAAATGCACGTCAAGATTCTTTCTTGGGTCAAGTGCTTACAGAGAATCAAGAGGTGATGTCGGCTCATTGCAAAGATCAAACAGTCTCAATATTTATGAAACTGATCAAGAAACTACGGCTGTTGATGTGTTAGCCGGTATATGTGGTTCTTTGTCGTCTGAAGCTATGAGTTCTTGCATTACGAGTTCTGTGGATCCTGCAGAGATATATGAGGAAGTCTACGATTCCTGCTTAGATGAGAGCTGTGAGGAGACCACTGATTGGACTGACGAGGAGAAATCTGTTTTCATACAGACTTTGTCATCTCATGGCAAGGATTTTGCAATGATCTCACGGTGTATCAGAACCAGATCAACATATGAGTGCAAGGTCTTCTTTAGCAAGGCCCGTAAGTGTCTTGGATTGGATATGATACAGCCCAGACCTCACAATGCTGTATCTGGTGATATTAATGGAGGTGGAAGTGACGGTGCTGAAGAAGCTTGTGTTGTGGAGTCGGGTTCTATAATATGCAGTGAGAGATCAGGATGTGAGATGGTAGAGAACCTTCTGTCTCCTGATTTGAAGACAAGTTATGAATCTGATACTGTAGGAATATCGACTTTGAAGCACAATCTTAATGAATGTGAGAAAAATAACGGAACAGGTTTTGATGATTTTACGGATGCTGAGAACCCTGGGCTAAATCATTGTCAGGGGAAGGATAAGGCTGATTTAGACTTTGATGCAGATGCAGATGCAGATGCAGATGCACATGGTGCTGATGGTGGAACTGTGGTTGCATCCCGTGATACAGAATCTTCACGGGTAATTGAAGATGCTGACAACCATGTCCAGTCTAGTAGACTGGGCGAGACACAGAATGCAGCTTCGACTGAGGTATCTGATGGGCATCGTAGGCCAGGTGTTACTTCTTATCCATGTGCTGATGCACATTCTTCTACACATTTGGATATTACATTCGGATGCGAAAAGAAAACTTCTACTCATATTGCTTCGTCAGCTGCTCATGCTAATGCGATCAGTGAGGTGCAGCGTCAGAAAATTGCTCAGACAGGTCAACATCTTTCTGGTTGCTCATTTTCAGATTGTGTTGAGTCTTCCGAAGTTCTCGGGGACTTTAAGGTTCCAATGTCAACTGTGAAGAAGAAAAACGAGGATATTAATTGCAAAAAAGCAGTTTCGCTTCAATGTGACGCCAAGGTAGACGGAAATTTCCCATTAGATCGTAGTTCTGGATTCTCTCTTCAAAAGTGCAGTAGTTCAAGATACCGGAATTCTCGCGAGGCTCCAGTTCAGGTCCAAGGACAGACAACGGATCCCTGCAGGAAAGGTGGTGTGAAATTGTTTGGTCAATTTTTGATCTCTTCTCAGGAGAAACAAAATTCTTGTATACCGGCCAATGATAGGAAAACCCCTCATCATAAATCAGAGAAGCAACCATTCACTGGGGATGAAATAAATTCAGCTCAAGCAAAGTTCGACTGTGATGACTACCCAAGCTCTGAGAGTATTCCCATCACAAAATTTCTTTCTTGTGATAAGAACAAGTTACAGAGTGCTTTCCCTCCTCTTCCAGACTCAACACTTATGTTTTGTCAGAATCCTGCTGCAGTTACCAATAACGCGATGCCCTCGGACGAACTAAAGTGGCCATTATTACCTCCAGTTGTCAAAAGCACGGAATGCGAGCTGAATGGCATCTCCTTTTTTCCGACCCAAGAACTAAGTAGCAGCAACCAACTAGCAGATTATGAGGTTCCAAGGGACAGTCAAGTGCAGCCTTTCACCATAGATCTAGAGATGCAACGAATAAAAGGTTTTGATGTCATGTCAGGTACCCAACAGCCAAAAAGGGAAACAGGCGGAGTTAATGTTGGAAGCCAGTATGCTGGTGTTTCAGACCCTGTGGAGGCCATTAAAAATGCTATATGCAAAAGATGAACAGTTGTGTGTCCCGGCCACGAGCATCATCAGAGACGATGATGTCCGCCCGTAGAATGGGCGGGATGAATTTTACGGAAATTTCCTCTTTGAAGGAATCTTGTACTTAGGTCACATGGTATAATATATATATTTAAATTCAGCAATGTTAGGGCTGTTTTTCTGTGTCAGTAGATTTGTAGTTCTTGCAATGTTGCAGCAGCTTTGCATTTGTTGTACTTGATGGAAATACAGAAAATAATCTGTCAAAACAATTTGAATTGTTGTAGATGATTAATGCTTATGAAGTTCCTTTCCAAATGGATTGTAATTCTACAAAATTATTATAGTTTTGGAGTTTAGATCTGCTGTCCCCATCTTTGTACCCCTTTTTGCTTATGAGGAGCTTCAGACGCAAGGCCTTGTACTGTGTTCGTCGAGAAGAAGATTGGTATACGAAATAATGCGTGAATTTATCGCGGAAATTGATTAGCAAATGTTCATTTAATCTTTATCTTTACACTTAATTTTGTTAGTTAAGTTTATTGATGAATATAAGCTAATTAGTGTACTTTGTTCTAATAATATTTTAGTGAAAAAAAAAAAAAAAAAAGAAGGAAGGTGAATCAATTAATTATTCAAAGATTTCGTACGAAGGTGCCAAAAAAAAAAGATTAAGGACCTCATTTGTACTTTTGCAAAGGTGAAGGACCCGAGCTATTTTTTCGATTTTTTGCTGTGGATTAAAGGATTTTGATAGAATTTTTGAAATACGTAGTTGGAAAGTTCTGTAATTTATGAAAAGCGTGTTAGGTGATTAATATTGCTTGTTTGATTGTGACCGAGATTATAAAATCTGAGCCAAACAGGAAATTACGATAAAGTGAAGGGGCGTTCGATAGCATTTCTTCAGTTACACCGCTAAAAACTTCTGCAAATCGTCCCTTTCATACTCCCTTTTCCCTACCCCACGCAGTTCATCAAATCGGATTCCAGACGCAGGATTTATGACAGCATTATTCAGGATTGTTCTAATCTGCACGCATAAATCTGTGACCGTTTCTGAATTTACGTGTTTTTGTATTTATATGGGAATTCAAAATTAGGTGCACTCTTAATTAATTCAGTGGGTGCATGTATCTTAACATTGCTTTTGATTTATGCAAATGACTACATATATAAAATGCCTCATTTTCACACACTGTATGTGTGTTTTTACATGTAATATAATGTATTCCTCAGAAAGTTGAGAGTTCCTTATGTCAAATTTTTGTTCTTGTTTGCAGTGTAATTTCTTTGGAAATTCATTTTTACCAATCTGTCTTTTTCTTTTTAGTTTGTTAATTTACCATTTACCAATTGCTATTAATTATAGTAGATCTTTTAGATTTTTTTTTTCCTTCCAAAAAGAGCTGATATTGATCGCATAACTAGAAATCTGCTTTTGATCTATGACTTGTACATACCAAGTAATTATTTGTCTTATATTATACAAAATTTATTTCATGTCATACATATCTGTAAAAATTAACATATTAAGTAAATTATCACGGCACAATTATTTAGCATAAATTGTATTATTTAAAATTATTTGCTTAAGATGCATTAATATACGAGAAATTAGCATATGAGATACCAAAGTTTCTTGTGTCATCTTATATTTTAACACATTAACATATGAATTTTTTATGATAATATTAATGTGTAGGGTTTTGCACCTTAAATTATGGAGTCAATAATTTTTATTTTTTTTAGGGTTTCATTTTGGTATATTTTCTATATTTTATTAAAATAGTACTCGACCGTAAACTTTAGGGTCTCGTGGGATTAGTTAAGGTACGCGTGAGTTAGTCCGAACACCTATGGTCATTAAAAAAAAAAAAAAAGTAAGGATAAAATTAAGTAAATAAAAGTTTTATTTCAGCTTCTTTTAGAAGCCCTTTATAAAATTTTGAGCTTCTCTAAACTGAGCTTGAAAAACTATTTTGGTCGATAAGCGCTTCTTTGATCACAAACCAAACAATTATATTTTGCTGCAAAAGTGCTTTTGGCCTGAACTAGAGCCTTTGGGATACCAAGTCGCCCTCCCAAACACATAATATGTATGCACAAATATGCGTAGATACGTATATGCTTATGTTCAATATATTTATAACAGTTTTTGGTGAATATTGGACGTTTAGGTTTATTATTGTATTTGTTTATATTTGTGATTTGTTGTCTAATGCAGATACACATACTTACACGTGCATTTATGCATATGCGTGTAAACATATTTATGTATGCATTTTAATACTTTCTGTTCGGTTGAGAAACGGAATGCAAGCTAGTAAAGTAATCCCTACATGTCAATGATAGAGGTATATGATTAATACTCACGCAGAGATAGTATAAAGTCACTTATAGATTGTAGTACATGAGAGTTGAATTGATGCAATACTGGTGCATCCAGCAGATGATGAATAAAAACAAAAGAAAAAAAGAGAAGATTAAGACAATTGAGGCTGAGTTTAAATCTGTGGCATCCAATGCACCAAATTAAAATAGGTTAAATTAGTTAGTTTCAGATACTAACAATTTTGTAGAATTTTGACACTTGACAATGGAGAGTGGACAGTTACAAAACTTCTTTGTCTACATCCACTTAACTTTAAATAGGAGTTTTGAAAGAGCCAACAGTGTCACGTGACAGTGGTTAGAGCATCTTTTGGTTGTTGAAACTAATTACTTCATTACTCATTTATATGTGATAACCATTGTATCATTTGGTGGATATTATTTCGAATCCCCTCCCCAGGATCTGTTTTAGAGATAAACCAGTGTTTGTGGCTTTCAAAAATCTCTGTTTTGAGTTCTAGCAGCGGATTTTTAGTCGTAGAAATGGAAATTATTGAACATATAGTTGCTGAAAGTAGCAACAGAGGCACGGGCATGGGCACGGGGAGACCTCCTCGACTTGAAGAGGTAGAAAAGCATGTTACATACACAGACGAGCAGATTGAGCTTCTTGAGAAAATTTATGTAGAGTGTCCAAATCCAACTCGCTCTCAGCGATCACAGATTGTGCAAGAGCATCCCATTCTGAATGGCATTGAAAACAGGCAGATCAAAATCTGGTTTCAAAACTGCAGGTGAATTATCCTCTCTTGTCTTTATTCTTCCGCAAATTTTTTCAAAAGTTTCGTCGTTTGTTGTTACGTCCCCCGACTTTTTCTATGTTCAAAATTTCCAGAGACTATTTGCTAGCTGTCCTTTTTTTATTAATTTGCAATGAGGTTATACCTTATTTGTAGGTTTGACCTTGGATCAAATTTATTAACCAGAGTTTTTTGCCAGGGTGCTTTCATGCTTTTAGAGCAAAATGTTCACAGGGTAACAGATTTTGCCAAAAATGCATCTGAAAATCATTTGGATAAAATATGTTCTTTTGTTTTGTTAATTTGTAATGAGGTTATATCTTATTATCGATTTATTGACCATATATTTCAAATTTGTCGTCAACCACACTTTTTAGCTTAGGTGCTTACACTCTTTATTGTTTACACAGAATCAGAAATTTCAGAAGATATATTCGGAAACCTTGTACCTTATTTGTCGGTTTATCGACCTTAAATTTCAAATTTATCATCAACCAGGGTTTTCTGCTCGGTTGCTTGCACTTGTCGGGCATCAGTGTTTAGTAGCAAAATTTTTGGAAGATATGTTTGGATATTATTTGGACAAAATGTGCTTTTGTTTTGTTAATTCGAAATAAGGATATACCTTATTTGTAGGTGTATTGACCTTGAATTCCAAATTTGTCGTCAACCAGGCATTTTGCTTTGCCTACAGGTGTTAAAGTTTGCATAGTATTATAATATACGTTTGGAAATTATTTGGAAAAAGTCTGCCCTATTGTTTTGTTGATTTGAAATGAGATTATACCTTAATTATTGGTTTATTGACCATGAATTTCAAATTTACCGTCAACCATGCTTTTTTGCCTGGGTGCTTACACTCTTCAATGTTTACACAACAGGATTTCAGAAGATATGTTTGGTAATTTTTTGGACAAAACCTGTCCTTTTGTTTTGTAATCTGAAATGAGATTATACCTTATTTTTGGGTTTATTGACCTTGAATTTCAAATTTGTTGTCGACCACTCTTTTTGCCAGGGTGATTGCATGCTTCAAGTTTACATAGTAACAGAATTTTTAAGAAGATACATTTGAAAATTTTTGGACAAAATCTGTCTGTCTGTTGATTTAAAATGAGATTACATCTTATTCAATTACATCTTATTCATCAGTTTATCGACCTAGAATTTCAAATTTATCATCAACCCGCCTTTTGCCTAGATGCTTACACGCTTCTAGAGCAAAATGTTTACTTAGTAACATATTTTTAGAAGACATGTATGGAAATTATTTGGACGAAATCTGTCCTTTTGTTTCTTAATTTGAAATGAGATTGTACCTTGTCAGTTTATTGACCTTGAATTTCAAATTTGTCGTCAACCAGGTCTTTTTTGCCCAGGTGCTTTGGCCCCCTTTTAGAGCAAAATGTTAACAAGAGTAACATATTTTCCCAAAGATACATTTGGAAATTATTGGGACAAAATGTCTCCTTTTGCTTTGTAATTTTGAAATCAGATTATGTTTTCTTTGTCTGCTTATGGACCTTGAATTTCAAACTTGTTGCCTGCTGGGCTATTCGAGAGCAAAATGTTTGAATAGTACCAGCCTTTGCAGAAAATACATTCTGGAATTTATTTGGACTAAACCTATCAGTTTGAATGGAAATGTCCACTGCATCATATAATGTGAAACGTGAAAGTAAACTGAATAGGATCGGAATTCTTAAGTTTTGAGTATCTGAAATTAACGTGATAACTCTCTAATCATAATTTTCTAGCTTAAAATTTTCTTTGATTTGACAGTGGTGTTGAATTATGTGATCATTTTTATGGATCCACCTCTATGAGAAGACTCCTGTTCAATCACGAATGTTTCCATTACAGAAAATGGCTTTGGTAACATTTATTCAATCATTAAATCTAGTGACATTAATTCTTTAGCGGGAGAATGCCGAAGTAATTTTTTATTTCCTTAAAGATCTGGTCTACAGGCAGTGGTAAAAACTTCCCAGCATTTAGTTTCACTTGCCAGTGTGCTTCTCTGAACTAGGAAAGCTTGTTATATCTTTATTTATTTATTTTTCATTGTTTTAGAGGTAATTGAATGCGTAACTCATGATATTGGTAATATCAATCATTTAACCTATGGCGAGGCATTTGATTTCTCTTGGTTAATGGGATACATACCTTCTAAGTAGGCATGTTCCTCAAAGGATGCATGCCTTCATTGCCTTGAGGTAATTTTAGAACTACTTTGCCACCAGATGAGCCTATTAAAAAACCCTTTAAAGCAATTATATTGAACTTCTATTTCAGATTTGAGCTGAGAACAAATTTGACATCATGGCGGATTCAGTAATCTTCGACTTTGTTTCCCTGTTTTCAGATGCTGTGAAAGAAATAAGAAAGAGAAAGAGGAATTTCTGTTAATGACCCGGAATTTGAGAGCAATAAACACTATGCTGGTTGAAGAGAACAATTTGTTGCAGAATGAGGTGGCCCAGAAGATGCAATTGAGAGAGAACTTGAGGAACCTGGTCAGTGTACATTAAATTACTCCCAAACTAATTTTGTGTTTCCATAGATGAGCATGTAAGTTGTTGTATGTTTTTGTTGTTCTGGATTGTATGGTTTTTTTACCAGCTCCATTCTTTGTCTAGTAAACCATAATAATAGATTTTGGATGCATGGAATTTGGTGCACGAATATATTGTTATTAGATTTGCTGAAGTGTTATAATGGACTTTTTTACCAATGCACCCTTGCCCATATTTCTCCTTGGATGTGTGAAAATATTTTTTTATTCAAAAAACGTGAAACAAATATTTTGTTTCTTGTAAGAAACTGTTATTGCTCTACATCATTCCTCTTTTCTGTTCAGTTGCACACTTGCACCTATGTATGAAAACACAGTGGTTTATGGATTTTACATAGTAAGCTTTTAATTTGGAGTTATCTGGATGCTGGTGCTTCATTCTTTTGTATTAGCTTGTTGTCTATCAGGATATCTTATATAATAATACTCTATACATCAACAAGAAGCCTTATTCCCAATAAACTTGGTGTGCTATCGGCCTTTGCTCTTTTAACTTGTTTTACAAGGCCGCAATACTCTTGTAAATGAGAGCTTATGCAAGCCATCAAATCAATCTATGTCACTCTTCTGTTAATTTGTCCACAATCAGTGCTACCTTCACTTTGTTTTTGTTCTCTCCTAGACCTAATATTGCTGTATAAACATGCAAAAAACATGGTGAATACATTCCAGATGCTTTTAGTAATTCTTGTTGCCAAATTTGTGAAACAGTCTTTGGATACTTGAAGGATTGGGAAGTGAGAGGCAATTTTTCCTTCTCTTGTCGCTTGAAGTTTTAGAATACTTTCTGAGTTGTAGGTTGATTGAAGCCTCTAAACTTGTTCTACAAAACAGTCTTTGGATGCTTGAAGGATTGTGATTTCATGATCTCATGTGAAATTTCTCTTTATACATATTCCTGAATGCTGAATTCAGCCTTACAATGTGATCTAGCCAGACTTAAAGGGGGAAGAAACTATAGCTGTTCACACCATAGACGAATGACGTATTTTTCTGCTTGAATAAAACTGGATTTTCGTTCCACTTTTTCTACAGCTCTATCATATTCATCTGTCTTGGATGATTGTGATGCAGTTAATTGCTACAGCTAGTGTTGCAGACCTGGGACATGAAACGGACGCCTTTCCTGCTGCTAATTCAAGGAGGTAGCATGTAATGTTACAAAGTCAATATTAATTATCTCAATATTAATTATCAATAAAAATAGCATTATACTGATTGGTTTCTTTCTCTCTATTTGTTTTAGTATTCCCTTACCAGCTGAGGAAACCACCAATAGGTTCCTGTCTAAAGCTACTGGCACTGTTACCAACTGGATTGCTGATCTCAAGCTGAAGGTTTTCATGGTTGTAATGCTTTTTGGGCTTTATCTCTTGGTATCGAACCATTTATTTAATTTTCGGCTGTCTGGTGCTGTACATGTTTTGCAAACTCGTGTGGGGGAAGCTGCACGACCCACTGCGGCACCTTTTGATCCTATCAAGGCACAATCTGATTTCATCTTACCAAGCTTTCTGGTCTGCATCATTAACCATGCTAATTGAAATAATTTTTGAATGGAATGAATTATGATCCTTAGTAATTAAGTCAAAAGGAAAATGAGAGAGAGAGAGAGAAGCACGAATAGCTTCATTTTGATTATATGCTTGCTCTCTCAAATTTTTTTATTTTTTATTTTTAATTTTTGTGGTGAGACAGAAACTGGAAATCCTGAAAGACTGTCCATCCTGGTTTCCAAATTGTCGAAATCTGGAAGTCCTTGACAAGTTTTTGGTGAACAATGGGACTACAACTGAACTGATGTACACTCAGGTTAGCAACAAACAGATATTATAATTTCCCCAAGACTCCATAAAAGCACCAATCTGTTATTTTTCGCTATATTGGCCTATTGTTATTTTATTTTTTAAATTTCAATTTGTTCCTGTCTAAAACACATTCTGTTGTTCAAGTATTGCTCCCACTACATTGCCTTCCACAATAGATTTCTGGACGTTAAGATGTGTTTCAACTTTAAAAGCTGGCAGCTTTGTGGCATAATCTCATTGGTGATTGTTGGTGCTTCATCCTTATTATGATATGGAAAATCATGTTCCCTAAATGAATAGATTTGCAGGAGATGGGTTGATATATAGATATTCTTTTCGTTGTGTGTGCTACCTACCTCATTTGAATCTTTATAAACTTTGTTTGGGTAAAGAAGTTCCGTTGCATGAGCGATGTGATCCAAATAGAACACGTTAGATGAAGTAGACCAAAATTAAAATGGCCTCATGTGGTTTCAAAGGATTTTATTGCAATAGATCTTCATGTGTAGCAGTGGATCAAATCGAGTTGCATAAAAGGTGATAAACTACCTCGTTGCATTGACATTTTTCTCTTTACATGGTCCCAATCTGTGACTGTGCACAAGAACAAGTGGTTGGAAGAAAACTAGTGTGAAGAATCTGAAGATGCTTTGACAATTGAAAACATCACATTCCAACAAAGAGATTTGCATTTTTGAATTGAATAGGGAACACTTTATTAAAAATTGAGGTGGCCTAGTCAATACTCAATAGTGACACAATATTATTTTATCATCAACAAAGGAATATCATGAATTTGTTATGGATTAATCTCTAACCTTATACTATTGAGAACTATGATAACACAAAATAGAAAATGAAAGCAAGAAAATCACTGGGCTTAAAGTGGTTAGCTCTCAATGCAAGAGCTACATACACTCAATGTGTCTGCAAAATTGAACTAAATCAAAGAGGAGGAATACAATATGTTTCCTGAATCACATTGTTTCTGTTTTCTCTCTACCACAAAAGGTGGCTCCTCCTAATACCATTTATTAATACTAGGAATAACAAAAACAATGCCGATATGATAGAAATTTGTGTTGTGCCAAAGAGTGATTAAGTTAGGTATATGAGGTTCTTCTATTAATAAGGAACCGAGGACGATGTATTGCATATGATTAGCAGGTTGGATAAAATAGAGAATTGCCGCATAATTTTATGTGATAAGAAAATGCATATAATGTTAAAAGTTTGGTTCAACAAAGTTATTATTAAACTACTATGCTCAAAGGTACTAAGTTTTAAAGGACAAAATGTCCATACAATGAATGTAGTAAATGAAGATGCTAATATGGAATTGTTAGTCATATGGATAAGATAAGAAATGAAGATGTTCAACAAGTGGGGGTGGAAGCGATTGATAATAAATTAAGGAAACGACAAAATATGTGGTTGAACATGTCTCGCTTAGACCTAAAGAGATGAGCATGTTCACAAGAGTGATGCATCTCAGTGGAATGAGTTAGAAGAGGGAAAAGGAGACCGAAACAAACATGTATTATTGTAGTTTCTTTTGATATTCTAGCAGTTGTAGCCATTAACCAAAAGGGTGGTGAAAAAGGATTAATGTAACTGACCTCAAATTTATAGAGGAATAGAACTTACTTTTTTGGTTGTTTGGTAGTCATTCACGGCATAGTAATACATTGCAGCAATTTGAAAATTTCTTGACACGGGAATGAATATCAAGGTGTCATTTCCTTCTGCTGGTTTGAATTTAGCCTCAGTTATTTTGGATAATCTATATATACTGTTTTGTGTCAATAGACTGCTCTGCTAGGAGCTTGATAGGTTAGTAATTTTGTTTTTGGTGGTTCCATCTGAAACCATTGTGAATATATAATTTTGCACTGGATTTAATCCATCTAATGGAATTCCCCATTTCCGTTGTATGTCAAAGAATCCTTACACATCTGGATTGACAGATAAGAAACAACAGTCGCAACTCCCAATTTTGAATCTGATCCAAACAGTTTTTGCTTTGGAAAATCTCTTCAGAATATATTTTTGATTCACCATCTTTTTCATTGATTTCTGGGTAAGAAGAGTGGATATTGAATATGAAGCGTATCCATTGTTACAGACATGTAATAGGAAACTTCTGCATAGCGTTAGATAACCTATTCAATAGACACGGATGATAAAGTCCACTTGGCTGAATTTATGGGTTTCTACAATGATATTTTTTAAGCCTTTTTTCTACCATTATTAATTCTTTTATTTACAGAGGGATGGGCAGGACACATGGTTAACTGGTGCAGACTCTTCAAAGTTCCGGTGCTTGACATTTTTTATGGCCTATCAATTTTCTTTCAGTATTCATCTTTGGGAGGATGTTACATCCATGGCTCAGCCATATGTCTACCATGTTTTGTCTCAAAAAAATAATTCTCTGAAAGCGACTTCAGGATCATATCTTGTTAAGAACTCCACTGAAGCAAACCCAGCCATGGGATCCATGTTCTCTCGCCACTCAGTGGATGCTGCCAACCTTGCTTATTGGATTGGCCAAAGTTACAGGCAAGTATAATTACTTTTTAATTCACTGATCTGGAAATTTAAGGTTTTTTTTTTTGAAAGATTTCTGATTCTATATAAATATGATTCTAAGATGACAAGTAACATGAAAATAGAAGGTTCCAAATATGAGAATTTATTAGTCAATATAATGGAGCTCCATGTTGCAAGACGGATTGGAATATAGAATTTTTTGACTAATTTCTACAGATGTTACTGTATTCAGATTTAATCTGAATATGTATTTTCAAGTGCTTAAAACAGATGTTATGAACAAAAACCTCTTATATTGGTGTAACTTAATTTTAGGCATTTTATGGCATTCGACAATCTTTGGCTCGTATAATTATGTAAAAGTGAATAGTTCCTTAAATAGCTTTCGAATTCCATTTTTGAGTAATCGGAAGCTGCTTTTGGGCTTTGAAACAGATCAAGTTTGGGTGTGGAGTTTCTCAGCGTCAGCTGCCGGAGCAGCGACTCTTTGTTGGACTTAAGCTCATTCAAGGTATATAACCTCATCACTTTGATTACAATTTAATTGGGAGAAGGATTTGGATATATTAGTCTCGGCTTTATTCATCCTGGAAATATTGAACTTACAGTCGCTCTGGTGGAATGAAGTCTATTCTGGCCTGCCTACATGCCGACATTTCGTTACAATCTGATATTCTAACTATAATGCTGCAGATATATTTTGAATAAATATAATATGAACTTTCCTGGCTTTAGATTACTAGAGCTGCTTATGTCTATAGGGGAAAAAATATCTTGATGAAAGAGTAGGAAAACTTCAGAAAGAGAAGCTTTTATTCATGGTAAATCACGACTCTCGTTACTTTGCAGGGCTGTCCTCAGTATTTTCTGCTGGTAACTGCGTAATGGACAGGTCGTTGTGCAGAGAGTTGACAAGAGGGATGGTAACTAGCCCTTCTTCTAAGTTATGTTGAACTTTCTTGTACTTGCAAAATGCCCATGTTCTTGTGTGAGATATCTTAAACAACTGATCAGGTTGTGCTTACAGACATTTACCAATAATAAAATATGGGCTGTAAGTGACTATTTTCAGATATGTTCGGTAGATTTTTAGTATTGGAAGTTTTTATTTGATGAAGAATTAGAGCATGTTTGGCTAAAAGAAGGTGAAAGTACTTGTTAGTAAATTTTGACCTTAGCAGAACAGTTGTCTAAGCTTAAGAGTTACTTCTAACTTTTTTTGCTACATGTTTGCCAAATTAAAATTTACTTGGTTGTTCTAAAACTTGCTTTTTCATAAGTTTTTACTTGCCAAACATGCTCTAAGTTTCCTTTCCACCCACCCACTATAAAATCAACTCCGATGGTACACACTGCGTAGTGTGTTTGGTCGAAAAAATTGGAGAGTATTAGGCAAACTATATGATAATATTGTTTTCCTATCTATAAATAATACGTATTTAGAAATAGACATGCAATGAATGCTCTATAAATATTACCATTAATAGCCGTTTCACACCACTCCATCCTCCACCCTCGAAATCAATTTTAATGTCACACTATTGATTTTCCCTACCAACACTTTTTTGATCAAGCCTGTCGTATCGGGTTTGCCTAGTACGGTTTACCTGATTGACGTGATTTGTAGGTTATTACGTCAGTCGGAGGGTTTATCCAGTGCGCATCCGAATGGTAGCAGCTGCAGGTTCTCCCGTCATTAAAAAAAAAAAAAAAAAAAAAAAAAAAAGACCTTTAATGTTACACTAAACTAAATGTTCTTGGGATTGCAATTATTCAAGGATGGTGAAATGGCAAAACTCATAAATGACATAGCCTAGACGTCTCAAACTTAGGATTAATCCCGATTAATAAAATGTAACTAATTTGTAAATAGATTCTCAATATAGAAATAGGATTAATGCTTCGACCCGAGTCACCTCACCTACCTCACCTACTCGGCTTATAATTGAGGTAGTAATAAAAGCCCACGAGCGTGTTTAATGAAGAAGATAAAATTAATTTTAAATTTTCCGTACAAGAAATTGAAGTCATATATGTTGTTTTTGGAGTGTCGATTTCTCCTTTGAACAATCTGAAGTCACTTACTTTTACAAATTACGCAATCACAAATGTGATATGAACCATGAACAAAGTTGGAATTGGAACGGAATGATCTACAGGATCAAACCAGGAATTAATCATGAACAAAATTATAATTCGAGTTCCCGACTTCATGAAGTGTTCTTAAAACGAATTTGCTTTCTTCTATAGTCCTTAAAAGGCTGTTAGCAATTGTCTCCCATAATATAACGAATTTCATCTCTTAAGGATTTAGCACATCAATTGATAAGAATTCTAACGAATTCGACTTTGTGTTTTGTACTCGAAATACAGAAATATAATACAGAGAGAAGGAAAATTCGAAGTAGGAATTATTATATTTGAATGGTGTGAATTTTTTGGCAAAAAGAAAGGTTATTATAGAGTGTTCGTGGCTATTTGAACAACCTACAAGCCTCTTTAGAAAAGTGTGACTATTCATGTAACATTTCAAAAGAATATATGCATGTTACATCCGATCACAAACACTGGATATAAGTCACAAATATCGATCACAGGTCATAAATGTCTGTTAAATCCCAAAAATTTCGCGAAAATAGCCAACATTTGAATTTAAGACTATTCAAAATAATTTCATTAGTACCCAAAGAATTTGATTAATTATAATTTAGTTCAAAAAAATTAAATAATTTTCACATAATCTACAGAGGTAATATCAGTAGAGAGAAATTGTTTGACGATATTATATTTAAGATGATATATGTCGAGATTTACAATTATACGCAACATTTTGTACCCTTGCATCCAACATGAAATGTTTTCTAGAAAATTTCGTAGCAATTCAGCTTCTTCCCCAACTCTATCCAATGCAATGAATTTGAATTTCCTTGTTGATCTAGTTATACAAGCTTGTTTTGAAAATTTTCAAGATACTGCTGACCTCTAAGTATAGAGACATATTCTTTTGTGGACTTTATGTTGTTAGTATCGGATATTCAAATCGCATCACAATATTCTTCAAATACTACTAGATATCTAGAATAGTACAATCCAATAATTTTGGTTGTTTTAAATGCTCTAAAACTCTAACAATTATCTTTTTAAGTGCTCAGTGCTTGGATTACTCATATGCTTAGTCTACATATAGAGTAAGCAATAACAGGTTGCATGCAATTTGAAACATACATTAAACTGTCAATTATTTGAGAGTACTTTAACTGAGACTTACACTCATCGGTGATTGTTGCAAGATGCATACTAGTATAAATTAGTGTCTTCATAGAAATAATATCATATTTCTTAAATTTATCAAGATTTTTTTTTTTAAATAGTGTTATTGAGACTATAAGAAATTATCAGATGTTCTATAGGTTTTAATTCCTAATATAGCACTAGCAAGACCCAAATCCTTCATTTCAAACTTTTTAAAATTTTCTTAATATTTTGAATTATGGTATCATTATTATCCATAATTAGCATGACGCGTACTTATAAACAAACCATTGTATATTCATTTTGAGTGCTCTTGACATACACACATTTGTTATTTATTAATTTCGACCATTTGATACCATAACTTCGTCCAACTTAATGTCTATTTTTAGGAGTTTCCTTTAATCTTAACAAGTCAACATTTTTTTCCTTTTTTTCCATGAGGAAACAAATCCTTCAAATATCCCCATAAGATTTCCTCATCCAATTCACCATTCAAAAATGTCATTTTAACATCCATTTAATGTATTTCCAAAGCATTGAATGTTGCTATCTCTATAAGCATACAAATGAAAGTAATTCTTGTAATATGTGAATATGTATCGAAACAATCAAGACTTCTATTTTAATTGTAGTCTTTAGGGGCAAGTCTAGTTTTATATTTGTCAATTTTATTTTTTCTAATTAAAGATACATTTACACCACTATGGGACCACGTATAATTTTGTAATATTGCCCCCCGGGGCATATTTTAGTGTTGTAAAGAACAGGAGTGAGGTAGTCTCAACTTTGCTCGCAGCCACAGTGTGAGGGTTCGATTCCTGAGATATGAAATTGAACTCTTTATGGACACCAGCCAAGCATTTCACGGGTCGTGCAGTTCAACTTCATGATGAAGCTCTTGAATCCTCTAATCAAGTCTCAGATTGTATAGAAAAAACAAAACTCGAGATAACTATGAAATTCTCAGCCTGATGCGCACACCTTTGTGGATTCAATGGTTGGTTTATGGGTGCTATATCCAGTTTTCAAGATATTCTCTAGAGCAAGGCTACGATATACTCCTTAAGGTGGTTAGGCCAATGAAAATTGCTCACGTGTCAGATGAATATAGCCATGTGTAAAAGAAAGGGTAAAAGTACTCGAGTCCGTGTCTTTGTGTGCGTAGAAAATTTACAACTTGTGAATTACAAGTGTTGTGGCAGCTAATGTTATGGTCAATTAGTCCAAACATAGAATTGGATAGCACTGAATTCTACACACTGCAGTGAACAAAATTATAGCTTATTTTTCTTCATTTCCAGCTGAATAGACGAGTACTATCTACTTGCTCGGTTGCTCCTGGGACCCATACTGTTCCAGCCACTTGCTCAAGATACCATTTGAGTGCTATACAAACCTGGGAAACATACGACTTTTTTCCTTTTTTGAGTTTTTCTTCTCTTTTTTTCCATACTATACCAAACTTTAGAAACTATTAAGTTAAAACATCGTGTAGAATAGCAGTTAATTTAAACATGAGCTAGGTAAACTAACCATATAAATTGTTGCACATCTTCCACCCAAAAATCAGTAACAATAATGAATCGATTTGAATAGATTGGAAAAGTATACATCTGTCTATCTATACATGAATCGATCTGATATTATACCTCTCCATCTGTGTTCAACAGAGACTGCTATCTAATGCTAATGGAATCGGCAGAAACCGACTTGGATGCATCTAGATGATTAAGTCGACACGTGCCCAGAAGGAATTCTGGCAACTCTTCCGGCGTGTCACCCTGCAACCTCAATTTAGGAAAGTTTCATAACTAATCTGAAAGAGAAAGCAAAACACCCCTTGTTCCACCACCACCTTATCTATAAGCTTAAGCTAATAGAGACGAGATAAACGTATTCATAAAGCATGTTTGGCTAAACCTGAAAAAACTTAGAATACTTTTTTGAGAAGTCACTTTGACTTCTGTTTTATTTTGTTGCGATTCATAGCTTAAACATATGTTTACCCAAGCAAAAAAGATACTTTGAAGTACTACATTTTTTAGGCTTAGCCTAACATGCTTCACTCCAATATCACACTTTTTTAGCATATATCGTACAACATAGTTTCATTATTCATTAAGGCACATAATGGCTTAACAATTGGCAGGAACCATTTGTGTTAGATGGAGATTTTGATGCAAATAAGGCAGTCCTTCCTCCTTTATTGAATGACACTCTTCAGAGGAACTATCATTTCAGACATCTAACTTAAGGGTAATGTTGTTTTACCTGTATCAAAAATGCTATTTCTATAACAAGATTTTTGAGGTATCCAAGAACGAGACTGACTACTCTACTTGCTACAGTCGACGAACCAACATCGATATCAACCTGAAAATTCAGATCCGCTGTAAAGGTAAGATAAAAATATATTGACTGCCTAATGAAAAATGTGATGTGATTTTCAATTTAGAACATGCATCTTAAACGAAATCGATATCCGAAAATCTTGTATACAAAGTTCAAGTAGCATATAGTTTTTGCATTTGACCTCCAAGTAGTTATCTCCTCGAAAGTAACGGATTTCAAGTGCTTGACCTATCAAACATGGTTTCTTTCGAACACTCTGCTTTACTATCCAAGGTCCCTACGTACAATCACCAAAATTGCTTAAGCTTTGCCAGTCCGGAGAAGTATGCAGAGTAAAATTTGACAGCATTAAATCTAGGAGGAGTGATGAAGCAGTGTAAAGAATTTATGGTAAAATTGCATGATTGGTCCAGAACCTATGGTTTCTTTAGAAAGTTGGTTCACAAGCTTTAACAGAGCATTTTAGTCCTGAATCTCCACTATTTTGAGAAAAGTAGTCCTAGTAGATGCAAAACCATCAATTTGACTGTTAAAAGGATGAATTTGGATGATTAACATCCAATGGGACTACTTTTAAAACAACATTGGAAGGTTGAGAACCAAAAATATCATTAGGGAACAAATTGCTATAGAGATCATAGTTTGGGGACTAAAGCTGCAATTTTCCAAATTCTTATTCTTAGACTAATATTCGGTTATGTGTACCAACCTCTGATATGTAAGGTATGAGCTTGAACCTTGAATTTCTAAAAGCATCATCTCCACTGACAAAGGAATCCAACAAAGGTATTTCATGCAAGGGGTTTTCTAGCATGTAGTACAGTGCCAGATTGTAGGTGGTTGTGCCTGGTACCTGATTCAAATACAAAACATAATCAGTACATTGAATGCTAGGTGAACTGAAGATGAAACAATAAAAGCAACACATACCTGTATGTTAACGATAAAAAAGAACTCGGGTCCTCCCTGATCTGCATATCTCTGCAAAATTTTAATTGAAATAGTATAATTGAGCATAAATTTGATGGGGCTCTGTTATTCAAACTACAAACCGTTGAACTTATCTATGTATCAATCTATACACACACACAATCTATTTATCTGTGTTTGTTTAATCGAATGGATTGACTATGAAACTCAGAGGGGTTGTTTCAATAAAGATAAGATTCCAGAAATACAAATTATTTGACGACTTATTCGTGGATGGATGACATATTGTGGAACTTGGGAATCTTTTGAACCGTTGAAAATAATATGTTAATTATATAGTATGGATTTTGGGGTTCAGAGGTGAGAAAAGATTAAGATGGGAATACGAATTGGACGGTCTTTAGATGGACTGGATATACTTTGGTTGATGGCAAGATTTAATGAGCTGAAGTGGATAAAACCCACAAAAAATTCATTCTGATAGGAAAATGGAAAGTCCATTAGACCAACCGTTCCATATGATACTTAAAAGCTCATAAGATGAACATAGCAAACAAATGGAGGTATTACCAATTGAGAATAGAATAAGGAAAATTTAGATCGTTAGAGTATGTCTTGTTTAGACCTCGAGACGAATAACTTAGAAGAGAGTATGATGGACTATAACTAACATGGATTGAGTTGGTTATAGAGAGAGTGACTTCATTTCAAAACGAAAAGCTTTTTGCATCTATACAGAACATTGAAAAGGATATATGTAATCAAACTGCTTAAAATCTTTTCCATTGTTGTGCGTGTGCGTGTGCGTGTGCATGTGCGACTGTGTCTATAGAAAATAAACAACAGTATACCAGACCTGAACAATGCCTCCTGGGCGTCCGGCAAGATTATCTTCACGCTTGACAGATCTTAACCAATCTGCAGCAACCATTTCCATCAAAGTGCCTTCTGCCCTGATCTGATAAATCAAAGTAATTTCCAAAATTAAAATGTGAAAAATGATCTAACTGCAAAAGGGAAACCTGTATCTTATGACTTTCATTACAAATCTCTGAAATCCATATAAAAAAAAAAAAGTGAAAATAATGAAGGTATAATTATCTTGGTGGAGTAGGTAATAGGAATACAAATATTCGCAAAAATTACGAAATAATGGAAAAGTAAAGCTTGATCATCTTCATCTGAGAGAGAGAGTCGAAACAAAAATATTTAATTATCACGCTCGAGAAATTTGCTTAAATAGGAGTACTCTCTTCGATTAGTCTCTCATTTAAATGACATAATTATCAATTACTCTTCATCGATATTATATAAGGTCAAAACTCCATGCAATTTGCCTTTCACGTGACAAATTTAAGCCTAACATATTTACCAGAACATGAAGGAAATCAAAATGCAACCTTTCTATGATCTTCTAGATAACCATCACCACGGATTGAAAATGGGGATGGATCTGCAGCTGCCCAACTACAAGGCTTATTAAAACTTGAATCTTTTGGAAGTGTGTCACCATAAGAGCATGATACACTTTCTGTCTGTGACATTTCTAGCAAGTCCGTGTAACCCTTTCTCTGTACTGCAAACATTCCAATTATTCAAGTCATCCCTAGATCATGTACTTCTTGACAGTATCCATTCACATATCCATTTAACAAGGTAAAACACACTATTAGGCACTCAACTTAAAACAAAATTTCTTGTTAGTCAAGGAACTTCATTTTGTTCCATGTTAGTCACTGAAGTTTGTTTCTCTTACTCCAAGTTGCTGCCACATTAGATATTCCGTTAGGAAAGCTAACAGATTTTAACTGAGTGCGAACATAAAGCAAACTTCCGAACAAAGTAGAGTTTGGTAACTAATATGAGATTTCAAGACAAGTTGAGAGACTAATAGTGTGTTTTAACATAGTTTTAATCATCTTAACAAGACTAACCTGCAATATCATGCAACTTTCTGACGAAGAAGGCAGCGGATGACAATTTTGGCTGGTACTTGTCCTGCATATCCCAAAGTGAAAACACCATGTCATACATAGTGATACTAACTATTTGCATGACATGAAAAAACTAAAATTAGAAAGGGACCCACTTTACCGTTGCCTAGAATCAATTTTTTTGAAGAATAGCACTACCAGACGAGCTAAAACTTATCTATTTAATTAGAAGCAATCTTTTAAAGCCTAGCCATATATGCTGTATATGATTTTGCATAATTAAACTCCATACACAATAGAAGAAGGTAGTTTCACCCATGGAAAATTGAGTCATTATTCAAGGCAAAGCCAAATTAGAAATTATCCCACTTAAAAGGAAATTAATGAAGTAACATGACCAAATCCTCTACTCAACCACCTAATAATGCAACATAAAAGGCAATAGAAGCTTATATTTCAAAAACTGAACTTATGCGGATAAAACAATATGTATAAGAGAAATGACAACTCAAAAGAGCGATTGATATGCTAGATGAACAAAACAGATGCACACACACACCAAAAAAAAAAATAAAAAATGTTCTTTTATGCAATGTGGAACAAAATATGATATTTGATTAACATGGATAGATTAGTTGGCATTTAAGGGATATCATTTCATCTTATGCGTAAATTATTATATTTATACGGTAACAAATGGATGGTAACACCCCTAAATTATGACAGTCACAATCACAATCAAAATCACTAGTTAGCCAAAATTAGAAAATCACAACATAAATGGCCAAATTCCCACCACCAACAATAACTGCAGAAGTTTCCTTGTATTTTCAAATTGTAGCTTATGTAGACATATGAGTATGTACAACAAGCTAAATAATGACAGAAAAGAGAAATGATAATAGAAGCACAAATCAGATGCCGTAGAGGAATCATTCTCATACTTAAAGTGGAACACCATGCAGAGATTTGATTTACACTGGCAGATAATTGGCTTATGAAACATGAGGGAGATGGGAAGCACAAGATCATGTGATGAACATGTTTTATTGTAATGGAGCATTAATCACCTGGAAGTCAATCTAACTCAAAATTCTTTCTCAAGATCAAATCAGTATAACATGTTAAAGTCTCTTGTGCTGACCAAATAAGACAAACATCCAAAAATCATGAGACGGTGAATAAAAATAAAAAATAAAAAATAAAAAAAAGGGACAAAATTCACTGATTCTCATTTCCACACAGTATCATGTTTCAGAGACAAAAAAACAGAGCCACACATCTTGATTCCCCCTAATTCACCGACTAAGAAGTCAATCATTTGGATCTTCAAAATTTTCATTTTTCTATATTTCGGAAGCATATCTTAATTGCAGGGGAACTCAAGAGCCAAATGTGTCATCGTAGAATTGTTTTTCTTTCGACAAGTATATTTCATTGAAGGGAAAAACTTAAGAAGGAGATTCGACAGGATGTGCTTCAATTAAACTAAGAGCCAGAACATTATAATTACACTGCAAGTTTGAATTTAAAGACAAAATACCGTATAACATAGTTCTGCACTCGTATTCACCGACCATCCATTAAATGGTTGATCATCATCTGATGGTTCCAGAACATCAAAAAACTCATCCTCTGCATCATTCAGTTCTCCAAGACTTGAAGACCCTGAAACTGGCTTCTCAGACTCCTCCTTTGTTTTACTCTCTGTCCTTTTTAAGTCAACTTCAGTTTTGATCACCCCTTTTTCCCTCTGAGGCATCCAAATATCTTTTGTCGGCTCTCCAGATAAATATTCATAAGAACCATAACCTGCTTTCGCTCTGAACAACTCTCTTAATGCTGCAAAACACAAAACAGATCCAGTCTCCTGTGGAAATTCGAGTTGTAAAAGTAAGTCATGATAAAACGGCGTGCTTTTTACCAGCAACTCTCCCAAGCATACGTATAGTTATAGATCTTGCAGATGTTTTCCTTAGATAGGATGTCCAGATTCTCCAATCTATAGCAAGCATGTGTTTAACAACACATTCTTTACCTTGTTTTGCAGGAGTAATCACAAATCCACCACCTGCTTATCACGATGTAAAAATTAAAAAATAAAAAATTATTACACCAGAAAACTTACCTTAGGTTAAGAACAAGCCACAGCAAAATTCAATAGGAGTAAAGAAAATAAGATATCACTGATTTCAATTATGCACATTGTTACCGTCCTACATCTGCTAGGTATTCTTGAACAACAAATGTTAACGGTAAATCTGAGCTTCAGTAAAGGATATATTCAGGACCATTTGTACTGTGGGATAAATTGTTCTTAAGTTGGTAATCTAAGTTATGAGTTAAGCTTTTCCGTTTATCATTTATTCTTCTAGTTTCTCTGGAAGGATTGGAATCGTCTTCTGATAAATTTTCTTATGTTCCCCGTCTTTTCAAACAGCACCCTTCATGAGAAAGCAAAAAGCAAATGAAAACCTATTTCATGGTTAGAACTAAAAGTCGATCAGTTTCTCAATAGAAAAAAAAATGAAAAACTGTCCGACTAATGATATATCTTACGTCAAAGAATTCTGAAGATGGAAAGTCTATAAATTCATTTCATATTTCTAGTGTCTCAGCTCTTATGATGCATGAGTTGTCTATAAGATGACATGCCATTATCGGTAGAATAAAAGAATTCACAAATTTCAAGACAAGCATAATTACTTTTAAGGCGAGCACGAACATATCCATGTTTGGGAGGACAGTTCCTATGGAAGACTGAGTGATAGAGAATAACTGCAACAAAAGCAACAGAGCAATTCATGAAAATAGTAAAATAAAATTTATCAAACTCATCAACTTGTCAGTTACACAGTACCATAAGTTCCATCATCTTCTCTTCTCCAATAACGTTGCAGAAGCAAGTCCCTTCTTTTCATTGGCCTGAAAGTAGGAAGTGCATGTTTTATTAGAAGTATAAGATTATGGTGGGCAGTATAATACACAAGGTGTTTGTCAACTATATAAATTCTAAAATGAAATTTCCATAGAAGTTACAAGTCTTACCGTGGTAGCCAATTGTTATATAGCTGGATGTGAGCAATATCCTTATGACCATCAAGGTGTTCGACCACACTGCCTCTGTAGAAGCAGAAATCCCACCTGTAACAGAACACTTAATAGTTAATAGGTCAACCCAAAACTGATGTGCCATTTTAAGAAAAATCAATTTATCATGCTGCCTAACATAATAATTTCAATGAATTGGTAAATAGTTATGCTTAATGTCAAATGTTTTCTTATAAATTGAAAATATTGATTGCCCAACACGTATTAAGTTAACCAAGTCCAGCATTCACTTCAAGTAGCTGCTGGACAATGATTCAGCTTTCTAAGAATTGAATTTGATAACTCTCTAACTCTTTATTCTCAAAAGTGAAGGAGTAACATCAGACTACATTGACAAGACATTGAGAGTGCACGGATGTTACAGGTTTGCCTAACTCCATGAGCAAATGCAGTGCATTTTGTTAAGAGATGCAACATTACCCACAACTTATGTTTCCTTCACTACATAATAACAATGCTTAATTAGTTAATTAATTGAGGTTATACGAAATATGAAGCCTAAGATTTTGGGTAAAAGGGCGAAAGTTCCAGCAGTTTTACTCTGTTCTCGATGGACCAAGAGACATAAGGGTGCTGAAAACAGCTTCTGGAGTTCCATCAATGACTCCAACTGCCATGATTGCTGGGTGATCATCCCAATCCTGAGAATAAAAATGGACATATATATGAGGAGTACAGATGTACTCATTCAAAGGATCAAACCAAATTAAGTCACAAGAGAATTCTACCTTCCACTTGGAATCCCTATATTTTGCCTCTCTGAAAAGTCGTAATCCTGAAAGGACAACAGAATACAAATATCGAGGGTAATTTATGAATAACGGATAATTTCCACAAGAAGAGCTCTTAAATTTCTATCGTTACCATTTTGACAACCAAAAATTTTCCATGGCGGAGGTGCAATCACATCCGATGACATTGCAGCCACATGCATGGCAGATGCAGAAGTCCTGTCAATTGTACTTTCTCTCTTTGAATTACTGAAGCTGGCAAAACAATGGTAAAGTAAATGGACAGGAACACTTTACTGAATGTGTAACCTTA